CCCCCCCCCAAAAAAAAAAAAAAGTCAGAACTTTGTAGATAATCTTCCCTCCTTGCTAGGTCTCCCCTAATTCGCAAAGAGAAATGGCCTTAAATCCTGAAGCATGAGGTTTGACATCCTTTCTGCAAAATGAGTTATCTTCATTTGTGATAACTCTGAATATTCATGTTATCCATGTAAGTGTCCAATCCCTTTTAATTTTTGTGTATTTTATACCCCTCTGTTTTTTAATTCTTGACAACTTCTTGTGGCAATGAGTTGTGTAAAAAGTAACTCCTTTTATTTGCTGTGAATTTGGTTGGGAAGGTCACCGAGCTGCCCGCTGCTCTTGTATTACGAGAACAGAAGTTCTCCACCATTCGTGACTGCATGCACTCGCTCTGCTCGTGTCTCCTCTCATTCACACCTCCAGACTGAACAATTCCAGACTTTTCAGTCTTTGTTCCCAGGAAAATATTTTTTTAGACCGTGGTTGAATTTCATTGCCCTTTTCTGAACCCTTTCCCTCTTTTGAGTTGATACAGTTAGTTAAAATCCTGTGTGGTGTAGAAGTAGTTTACATTTTTCCTTCTGATGTACATTACATTTGAGTTATCAACACTTGAGTTTAAATTTCCCATCATATTACGCAGTGGTGTCAAAGATACAGCCCATGGGCTGGATTCGGCCTGCAGAGCCGTATCATCCAGTCCCCGGTGCCCTGCAGGGCGTGCTGGATGGCCCTGCATGCGGCATGCAGCGTCTACTCCAGTTTACGTCCAGCTGGATGAGTTTGACATCCCTGATAGTCCCTATTCACTTACCTTATGTGTCTCTCTGAAGTTCTGGGATTTTGCACAGTCTTTTCTGTCCCTGATTAACCTAAATAATATTGTGGCATTTGCCGATTTTGCTATGTTACTAACTCACCGCTTTCCAAATAGGTAATAAATATATTAAACACAGCAGAACCTACTATGAAACCTGCTGCCATGGGTGGATCTAAGATTTTGAAAGGGGGGGGGGTGCAGATGCCATGATTCATCATAACATATAACACAACACTTATTTTTCTCCAGGTAAAAATGAAATAAAAACTTTATCTATGTGCTAGAGACCTAGTTCTATATTATTGAGTTCAAGATCAAAGTAAAAATAAATATAACCTTACTGCAATGTGCGTTCATTTGCTATATCAAATATTATGTATAAAACACAATAAATGAGGCAAAATAATTAAAAGAGGTTTTCTTTAGTTCTGTTGTCTTTAGAATTAAATGTACGTCTCAGATGCATAGACAAAATCGAAGCTACCTTGAGTATCTTGATGGTGCCTTTAATGCTTCACTGAAAGTTATTTCTACACGTGAGTTGATGTTCATTGGAGTTAATGTTTCCAAACCTGAATTAATGTTTTTAGCTAGAGATAAAAAAAAGACTGTGAAATAGGAGCTTTAAAAGAGGAGCAGCTAACAGACAGCAGAATTGCAGAAGAAAGGATAACTTAAGTAGTGGAATATCAAGACCATTAAAAAAGGAGAGAGGATCATTAACACGGAGGGAATGAAAAGTTTAGAAGGAAGCAGGAAGATGATAATGAGCCACCAAGTCAAGCGATTCCCTGGCTGCTGCCACTGTCAGGCAGTTGGCTTTAAACTTTGGGTGGAGCAGGAATCAAAGGGGGGCAGGGGTTGAGACTACCACTGCACCCTCCTAATCAGCCCCCGCCTCCGGCTAACATTTTGTCACGATGAAAACTGACCCCAAGTAGCACCTAAAAGCCCTAATTGGGACATCATACAAAGCCAGAACAAAAAAGTAGGATCCCTGCCCCAAAAAACATTGAATCTGAGTATGAGACAATAGAAAACAAATGGATACAGACATATGGGTAGAGAAGTACAAAGAAGCAGTGAGATAGTGTTGGTCAGCATCATAGGTCTCAGCACAGCAGTGGCCAACTTAATCCGTCTCTTTGTTTTCGCCCTCCGAGCCAATTTTTGACCTGTGATTGGGAAGTTCACTTTAGTGAAGAAAATAAAAAGAAGTGTAAAGAACAGCGGTCAGTAAAAGAGAGGGAAACGTGAAAGGCAACAAGATTTCCAAAGAGCAAATAACAAAGGGCATAAAAATGAATAAGAAATTGCAGGAAGCCAGTGAAAGAATTGGCAGGTCCATCCGTTCCGGAAGCAATTCAGATAGGAACGTTCCTGGGAAGCTACAGTATATGATTTTTTTGCATCAGTTTTCACTGACCGTGGTGTTTGGCAGAGGCCTACTGCAGACCTGCTTCTTCCTGGCCAGAGAAATTTCCCAGGGACCGAGTTGCTAAGGTGTAAAAAGAAGAGATGCTGCAGCAAAATGATCATTTATGGGGCATTAAGTCAGTGGGTCTCAACCTTTTTAGACTCAAGGCTCCCTTCGGAAAATGCCAGCTCTTGAGATAACAATGCAGTATCTTTTAACCGTAGAAAAATATTGGAGCAATTTTTATGTTGCAAAGAACTCAGAAAAACCAATACAGGGCAGAATGTTTTTAACACTATAGATTCCTATTTGGGATCTCTGGGTTTACCTTGTGAATCCTGTTTGCACACCTCACAGTCCTAACATTGCACAGCAGCCCGCACAGCACAACATTGCACGGCATCCTGCAGCACCCTTGAAAAGATTTCAGGGCACCCTCCTTGAGTGTCACTGCTAAGCCGCTGGGCCCCAGTGTTATACAACCAAGAGTTCAGAAAGAGCTTAAGCACCTGAACCACTAACAGATACCTTATTAAAAACAGCCGCCTCTTCAGAGGGTTGGAGACTAGTATGTGTTTAAAGGCGGCTTTAAGGATGACCTAAAATGACAGGCCGGCAAGCTTTATGTCTGTACCTGCACATTGGTTGAAATGATAAGTGGCTGACTGAAGAGAGACTGTCCCTGCAACTCCATGGCATCTTTGTATTTGCCTGCCTGTCTGTCCAGTCAAAACTTTTGAACTCCATAGTCCACCTGATCCACTTGGGCAGGGAGTGCTCTTGGCCTCCACAGTCAGAGCTGTCCTGATTGTGATGACAACTGCAAAACCAGAAGTGGGAGACCCTCCAGGGGGGCACACACAGCTCGCTGCAGCTGACCAGGAGATCTGTCAGCAGCAACCACGCGTGGTCCACAGATCAAGGGAAAAAATGAGCACTGGGGGCAAAGGGGCATCTAGAAGCCCCAGGCACAGGGCAGGGGAGAGGGGGGGATCCTGGCTGGAGGAAAGAAGATACGAGGGGGACAGGGACCACGAGTTGAAAGCAGGGTAGTATGGCATGGAGGCAGGGAATGGCGTTTTAGACTGGGGATGGTGAAGGGGGCACTGGGGCGCACACAGCCCCTGCCACTGCTAGAGGAGGAACAGGCACAGCCCATGCCGCGTGGTGGAGGGATGTGAAGGGCACCCACAGCCCTTGCCACACCGGGGCACACACCGCCCCTGCCACTGCTAGAGACATGGGGTACACACCGCCCCTGCCACGTGCAAGAGACGGGCACACACCACCCCCACCACATGCAAGATGGGGTGGAGGTATACACAGTGCTTGCCTTGTACTAGATAGGGGGAGGTTTGGGGGCACTCACTGCCCCCGCCACGTGCTAGAGGGGGCAGCGCCTGCCACGACCTACAACAGAAGGGACACCCCATGCGTGCCACGTGTGCGCAGGTTTGGGGCACCCGCACCCGCGTGTGACACGTGTGTGCAGGTTTGGGGCATACACACCCTGCGCGTGCCACGTGCGCCCAGGTTTGGGGCGCACACACCCCGTACGTGCCACGTGTGCCCAGGTTTGGGGCGCACACACCCCGTGCATGCCACGTGTGCGCAGGTTTGGGGCGCACACACCCCGCGCGTGCCATGTCTGCGCAGGTTTGGGGCACACACACCCCGCGCGCGTGCGCCCAGGTTTGGGGCGCACACACCCCGTACGTGCCACGTGTGCCCAGGTTTGGGGCGCACACCCCCCGCGCGTGCCACGTGTGCGCAGGTTTGGAGCGCCCACACCCCGCGCGGGCCACGTGTGCGCAGGTTTGGAGCGCCCACACCCCGCGCGGGCCACGTGTGCGCAGGTTTGGAGCGCCCACACCCCGCGCGGGCCACGTGTGCGCAGGTTTGGAGCGCCCACACCCCGCGCGGGCCACGTGTGCGCAGGTTTGGAGCGCCCACACCCCGCGCGGGCCACGTGTGCGCAGGTTTGGAGCGCCCACACCCCGCGCGGGCCACGTGTGCGCAGGTTTGGAGCGCCCACACCCCGCGCGGGCCACGTGTGCGCAGGTTTGGAGCGCCCACACCCCGCGCGGGCCACGTGTGCGCAGGTTTGGAGCGCCCACACCCCGCGCGGGCCACGTGTGCGCAGGTTTGGAGCACACGCACCCCGCGCGTGCCATGTGCGCCCAGGTTTGGGGCGCACACACCCCGTACGTGCCACGTGTGCCCAGGTTTGGGGCGCACACACCCTGTGCATGCCACGTGTGCGCAGGTTTGGAGCACACACACCCTGCGCGTGCCACGTGCGCCCAGGTTTGGGGCGCACACACCCCGCGCGTGGCACGGGAGCGCGGGGTGGGGGGACACGCA